GGGGGGGGGGGGGGGGGGGGGGGGGGGGGGGGGGGCGATGCGCGAAGGGCTGCGGCAGCGGAGAACCTGCCCGCTGAGCAAAGGAGCGGGGAAAGAGGGGGAGGGGGAGCCGAAGGGCGCGGATGGCTGGACCGGAGCGGCCTCCCCCTCCCCGAGGTCGGAGGTGCCTTAGCCGCTGGGGAACGGGGCTGCAGCCTCTGCAGCTGGATTTCCCACTCTGACGGGCGCCATTTTACCGCCCAAAGGACTCCCTCCTCCTTTCTTCCCCCCTCCTCTTCCCCTCTGACACTACTTCCGGTGGTGACGTGTATTCGCTTTACCGGGATTACTGTTCGACCTACTCGGTCTATGGGGGTGGGAATCAGGAAAGTGGAGTTAGCTCCGCTCAAGGCCACAGTCTGGCGCACGCGCGGAAGGTGGCGGTGGGGCGGAGCCTGGAGCGAATCAGGCCCCGCCTTGAGCTGAGTGGGCGGGACGGAGTGACGTCACGTGACCCGGAGGTTCGGCCCGTCGGACCAGCTCGAACCACATACCCCTTCTCCTACCGGCTACTGCCCCAACGACTCTTCCCATCCTAGTCTTGGAAAAAGTGTAGAAAGGGCCGTCGTCCCTACATCCATGCGGCAGGGCTAGGGAGGGGCCTTTCTGCGACAGCCCCTGAGTTATTAAACATAATCACTACCTATTCCCAGACTATGCCAGGTCCTAGTCGTGGGAGGAATCATGGATGCTCCGCCCCTTTCACCTAAGTGGTAGGGGCCAGCGGGCCGTGACGCCATCACAGGGCGTCTGAGAAAAGACAAGCGAGTTGGAGATGGAGTCGCTGTCAGCTCTTAGAGGCTTGGTGCTGCTGCGGGGTGAGGGTCAGAGACACGGGGGATTCCAACCAGGCCCAAGGGGCGGAAGTGGAGAGGAAGGGCCATGTTGTCACAGGCTAGGGGTGGTCGCGACTGGTTCGTGAAGGCGGAGACCACTGTTCTCACTCTTTATCCGTCCCTCGCTCTCCCCAGACTCCGTGGAGTGGGAAGGGCGCAGTCTCTTGAAGGCGCTTATCAAGAAATCAGCACTGTGGTGAGTATATCGCAGCATCTCCCCGTCCTTCCCGGGAAGGAAACGTGGGCCCCATTCTGACACTCTCTCATCTCTTCCTCAGTGGGGAGCAAGTCCACATCCTGGGCTGTGAAGTGAGCGAGGAAGAGTTTCGTGAAGGTTTTGACTCTAGTATCAACAGCCAGTAAGTACAAATTGGAAGGGAGTTAGTTGGGTGTGGGACCTCTGTTGCTATGGAACTTAACAGCAACGAGGGCAGAACATGGTATGTAGTAGCAAGCTGTGTAGATATATGGATCTTTTAGGGGCAAGAATAAGAGGAATGAAGAATGGTGATTATCTGGAGAATCCAAAACAGAGACTAGAGAAGAGAGAAAGAGTAACGAAAGGCCAACGTTACAGTTTAGCCCTGGAGGGTAAGAATAAACATGTTCTATTTTTCAAATTACTCAGAGTCTGGCAGCTTAATCCAAAAATGGATTCCAAACTTGTGTGAAAACTAACTGCAAGCATCTGAGGAACTTGTTGTAGAGGCAGAGGGAGCAGCTTGTGCAAAGTTATGGAAGTATAGAAAGCATAGGTGATGATGGGAGGTGGAAGAGCTACCTGAGGTCAGACAGACAAAAAGGTAGTTGATAGTAAATGGTCTTACAGAGTTGTGAAAAGGAGTTAAGATGTTATCCTAAAGGCAGTGGGGAGTCATTTGAAAATGTGAACGAGTGATAACATCATGCCTGTTACTCCAGTGACCGAAGTATGGAGAATGGGTTGGAAGAGGGCAGCCTGGAGGTAGGGAGACCAAATGGAAAGGCTATTGCACTAACTCACGTTCGCTCAGATCTGTATGTACTAAGTACCAGCTGTGAACCAGGTGCTCTACTAGGAACTGGAGATACAGCAGTGAATGAGACAGAAATGGTCCCTGCTCTCCTAAGTCTTTGAAAATAATGATAGGAGATGACAGAGGCCTGGCTTAAGGAGTGACATTAAGGATGGAGAGTTTAGGACAACTGTAAAAGGACTTTAACAAATAGAATTTCCAGGACTCCAGATTCATATAGTGGAGGAAAATATCCAGATCAGGAGGTCCCTGAACCCACCTATGTTGCCTGGTTACAGAAAATTACTCCTGGCCTGGGTGGCTCAGTGGATAATGATAATAGTTTACATCTGTCTGTTGAACCCAAAATCTGTGTCTATCATTGTGATAGAGGTGATGCCATATGTTAAGATGGCATTCACAAGAGAAGCAGAAGATAGAAAGGAGATGTCTGGGAACAAGTTTTGCCACCATGAAGCTTTCCCAGGATTTCTAGCCCATGCCAGACTCCTTTTCCTGAAGTGCTATTTTATCTGGAGTTAGTACCACATGACTTAATTCTTGACCCTCTCTAAGCTGTTTAATAGGCAAGAACTTGACTCTTTTCTCTTTTTCCATCCAAAGAATCGTACACTTAAGACACCACTCAGGAGGTATTTGATAATGACAATAGCTAACATTTATCAATCATTTAGTATGTGTCTAGTAGTGAATGTCAGAAGTTTGATATCCCTGTTTTGCAAATGATGAAATTGAATCTTAGAAAGATTACTTAATTGATCAGTTTGGTGACCTTAGGCAGGTAGCATAGCCAATCTTGGAGCTCCCAGCTGTCTGATACCAGAGTCTATGCTCTCAATCATATTTTACTTTTCAGTATTGTCTTTCACTGATATTTAGGGTATTAAATCAAGAAAACAGAGCCACAAAGATCAGAGAATGAAATAAAAGATTGTAGGGAGGGGATGGTATGATATTATCTCCTATTTTCCTTTTTGCAGGCTAGTTTACCATGATTTCTTCAGAGACCCTCTCAACTGGTCAAAGACTGGGAAAGCCCTTCCTGGGGGACCCCTGGGAGCCTTGAGAGCTGTGTGTGGGAAGACAGATCTTGGTCCTGTCACCATTGCTCTTGATTCACTCAGCTGGCTGCTGCTTCACCTCCCCTGCACCACACTCTGCCAGACCTTGCATGCCCTGAGCCATCAGCACTCCCACCATGGTGAGATCCCTCCTTCATTACTTCCCCTCACACATCTCCCCCTGCCAAGGAACAAGGCTCTTTCTACCTTAAGGGAAAACTAGGGAAATCCAATTGGATCTTCTTCCATTTCCTTAACCTTTATTCTAGTTCTTGACTTCTGCGTAATACATGACACAATCAGTTCTTTCTTTTCCAAGTCCTTTCTTACTCCATTTCTTTCATTCATTCAACGGACACTAAATATATATGTGTCAGGTACATGGGAAATAATGGGAGAATAAAGACTTAACAGTAATAAGGTCCTTGCCTTCCAGAGCTCAAAGTCCCATAAAAGATATAGACAAGTAAACAAGCAGTTACAAGATAGTCTGATAAAGGCCACAGTGACAAAGGAACATGCCAGAGTACCTTAAGGAAGGAATGTCTTGAGAGTCAAGGGGTCAGACAGGCAAATTTGACCATGCAAGAGGCACTGGGACTAGCCCTGAAGTACACTATGGCTTCTAGAATGGGCTTTGGAGTCATATATCCAGGTTTATATTAAGGTGCTTGACCTCTTAATGCTTCAGTTTCCTCTGTAAAAGTTGAGTTTATAGTATTCAAGTCTAGTATAGGACTTCATAGTATTCGGATGAACCAATTGTAATTGCTATTTTTGTAAGTCAGATAAAGTCAAATGTGAATTAACAGCAATTTCCTATGATTCAACCTAAAAGTGCTGACTTTCATAAGGGTTGAAAAACTGAAAGTGTTTAGTGCGGTGCCTGACACTATAAATCCTCTGAAAAAGGGAGGGGGAGAAAAGCAGGAAATCAAAGGAACCTTGACTGTGATCTCAGCAAGTTCCAACAACTGCAAGTAGTTCAGTATGTAAGAGATGAGGCTGAAGAGTAAGCAGAGACCAGATGATGTGTTAATTCAACACTGAAGGCCAATGAGGAGCTCCTGAGGATTGAAATCAGAGCATACTTTGATCAGATTTACATTGGAGTAAGAAAGTATGTTAAAAGTGAGGGCTGAGAGAGGCTCAGAGCAGGGCTGTGAAACTGGCCAAGATAAGTTGGGGTTGTGATGGAGCTGTGATGGAATGTAGACCTCACCTTCCTTTTTTTTCTCCTATTTGTTCCCAGGCCCCCACCCTAATGCTCCCTTTTTGCCCTACATTTTTTGTCCCTCTCCAGGTGACAGCACTCCAGTGCAGCATGTGCATGTGCTGGGCCTACTACATGAAGAGCTTCATGGCCCAGGTCCCTTGGGAGCATTGAGCAGCCTTGCCCAGGCTGAGATGACCCTGAGCGGTACAGTGGGCCAGGCCTCAGCCCACATCCTCTATCGGAGGCCCCAACAGCGCCCAACCCATGAGGTCAGGAGAAGCACTGGAGGTTGGGGTCAGACAGAGGGAGGTCTGGATGAGAAGAGCAATAAAAAAGCTGCTATGATCGAGTACTTCCCTGGGCTCTTATCATATCAGTTTCCTTCATTGTCACAGCTACCCTGTGAGGTAGATGTTTTTTATCCCCATTTTTCAGGTTGGGAAATGAAATCCAGGAAGGTTTAAATTTAAATCAGTTAACCCAAGGTTACAAAAAGTTAGTGGTAGAGCCAAGATTTGAGCTCAAGATGCCTGACTCAGATCCTTGACCTTAACCAATGAAAGATACTGTCTTTTAGAAAATGGAAAAGGAGAAAAGACTGGGAATGATTACTAGGGGAGAAGAAACAAGTCCACATAGTGGGGTTTGAAGGAGGGGTGAGAAGTGAAGAGCAGAAGCTGAAAGCAGCCAGTTACATAGGTAATTGGGGATTTGGGGTGCTAAGTATGGGAACTTAGCTGACTTTTTGTAAGTCAGACGTACGTAAGTACTTACATCCTGTAAGATGACGATGCATATAAGAACCAAGTTCTCTCTGGTTTGTTCAGTAAGATGGAAAACGTCTTTTTGATATTCCTTTCTTCTCCCCAGACTCTGTGGTACTCCATCCTGCCTGACTTCAGCCTGGATCTCCAAAGGGGATCCTCACTAGAGTCCCAGCCCTACCCAGATCTTCACACCCCCCCGGTATCTAAGAGGGCTAGGGCCAGAACAACGGGATGGAGTTTGGGGTCTGGTGAAAGGAAAGAGAGAAAAACTGCAGACGTGGGGGTGAGCTCAGGTATTCCAGTGATGGGGCAGAGTGGCAGCATCTTTTGTACCTACAGGTGGACCCTATGACTCATTTGACTTTTAACCTTCACCTGTCCAAGAAAGAAAGAGAAGCCAAAGATAGTCTGATCCTGCCCTTCCAATTCAGCTCTGAAAAGTAAGATTGGGGCCTGGGTGCCCAGGTGCCTCTGTAGAGCCCAGCATCTGGGCCTGAGAGATGGAGCAACAGCAGGTTATTGATTAACCTCTCAGAATTTATAGGGTCTGAAGTCCACCTCCAGAGACAAGTCCAAGGAGTGGTTCTCTACCCACCCATACCCCAGAATGGCAAAGGGCCTTTGTCTCTTGTCTCTTTAAGAGCCTTGGGTCCCAGCTCCGTGGTTGTTCCCAGAGCCATCTGGGCCTGGGCTGAACCAGACGGGACCCTGGGGAAGTGGCCTTATCTCCAGGCAGCAGTGCTAGGATAGGGAGCTAGATGGGTGTGGCAAATGCAGGTTAATAAGGGCTTGGGGGATGCCTGTTGTTCCGTGCCCAGTGTGTGGGTGGGGGAAGCTAGACTACAACAGGATCCTAGCCTGCAAGCTGCTGAAAATTTAGGGTATTAGGACAGTGATGCACATATCTTTCTCAGTACCAAATGGTGTTTCAGTACCAACTAAACGGACCAGGAAAAGGGACTTGGACCAACAAAACATGGAGACCAAAGAGGGAGTCACAGTCACTGGGAAGTGGGTATCCAGGCATGACCTGTTGTCCACCTGCATCAGCACCCATTCTCCCCTTGTCTCTTCTCAGACAGCAGGCTCTACTGTACCCTGGGCCAGGCCAGGCTACCAGCCACATCTTCTATGAGCCAGATGCTTGTGATGGCCTGGACCAAGAAGACCCAGATGACGACCTAGATATTTGACTGTTCAACGGATTTGATTGGACTGTAATTGGAAGCCGGGGAAGAGGAAAACCTGGGGCCCATAACCTTCCATTGTTTACAGTGGCCTTACCCTGTCCTCCCCCACCCTTTGTTCCCTGGGTCTATGAAGGCCCTGCCCTGTGACGCCATGAGCTAAAGGAGTAGCTTCCAATCAGGACAAAAACTGGATGATGGCAAAGGGGAAGGTGAGAGAGTAGAACTCCTCCCCACACTAATAAAATATTTTTTTTTTTAATTAAAGAAAACTTTTTGCTACCTATTTAAGCAAGAGTTGGGAGTGGAAGGGACTGGAGGGTGAGAATGGATGAGGGAGCCAAGAACCTGAGTTACTTAGAATTTAGGCCTGAATGACAATGAAATGGCGGAACAGGAACAGTTTCGCACATCAGTGGTACTGTGTGTGTGTGCCTTTTTTTTATTTTTAATATACGTAGGTGCGCTTCAGGTTGTAGGGGAGGGGTTTTGCAGAGCAGATAAAAGCCTACTTTCCAAAACATACTTTTTATTATTGTACAAAAAGCACACCCTCCCCTCTCCCCCCACCCCCACGAAACTGTACATGGTGTGCAGGGCTGGCGTAACTTAAAGCTCCTGCTTCACGCCCCCTGCCTGTGGGCTGAGCTTTCTGCCCCAGGGCCTTTCAGTTGTTTGGGCACACCATACCCATAGCTGCCAGGCTGGAAGCAAGGGGTTCCCAGCTTACACATATTCCTGGGCGGAGTTGGGCTTAGGGTAGGAGCGGGGTGCACGGTACCCAGCTTTGCTTTCACTCCCAGGGCAAGAACAAGAGAGCAGTGCACCTCCCAGGAGAACCAGAGCAGACCCTGCCCAACCAATGAAGATGGCAGGACCAAACTCGTACCTGTGGACAGAAGGGATTGGGGTCAGAAATCCTGGCCTGCCTCTCCCTAGCCCAGGACCCCACACATGTCCCCTTTGGAGGCAGGGTTCCCATACTTACTTGGTGTTCATGGGAATCAATGGGTTATAAAAGTCTGAGACAATCTTGTGGCCGTACCAGGAGCAAGCTACCAAGGCAGCAAGACCTAGAGATAGAATAGGATTCAGATATTGTGAGCCCCCAAGCCACTTTGCCCACTGTCAGTCCTCCAGGATAGGAGATAGGAGAACCCTTGGGCCCACCTTGAACCTGTTGCTCACCTGCGAAGATGAAAATGATGCCTCCGGTCGTGGCTATACGGGCCTTCTTCACTTTGTCATCTCCCCCACAGTTTGTACACTTCATGCCCATTGTGGCCACCGCCATGGCCAGGAAACCCAGCACCAGCGATACCACCATTAGGGCTCGGGTGGCCTGCATGGCCGCTGCGAGGAAGAGGAAAGGACGCCGTCATTGCTGGAAATGCAGGAGGCCCTTGGACAGCTCCAGCCATTCGGTCGCTCGTCGCACCCACTAAGTGGCCGGGCGCTGCAACCCGCCACCGGCCAGGGTCTCCCTCTGCCCCCCAAGTCCCAGACCAAAGCGGGTGGATCCAACCGCTCCCGACTCTACTGCCGTCCTGCTCTGCCCCGCCCTCCCAGCGGACGGATCCGCCCGGGGCACAAGGGTTTCGATGAAACTGCCCGGCTAGGGGGAAGGGTAAAACAGAACCGCGAAGAGAAGCTGAGGCAGCGGCCGGAACCCCGGCCCGCAGCTGATGCCGGCCCACGTCCCTACTCTGACCCCACTATCGAGGCCACGCGTTTTGTGGCTTCGGCTAATCGGCCGATAAGATTAGAGGCCGCAAGCAGCAGACAGCGGCCCACGTCTATCAGAGTACACGGCTCCTCGGCTCTCGGCCCGATCCCGCGGCGGCGTCGCCCCGCCTTTTGTCCGAGGGGAAAAGGGCGGGAGACCGCGGAGGTAATTGCCTGCCCAAGGGGTTGGGGGAGGGGAGGCCCCGGCCTAGTACTCCACTTCCTCGAGGGGTTGGGCCCGCCCGCCCTGCTTAGCTCAGCCGAGGGGCGCAGCAGTCCGGGGTGCGCACCCACGTGCAGCCGCCAGGACTCGGGCCCGCTCCTGCCCAGCCTCACTGCCCCAGTGCGACCACTTGCGCCGCCTCCTCTCTCTGCCAGCTCCCGGGCAACCCAGAGCGTCGGGCTGTGGAGCCTCCCTGTCCCGCACTCCACCCCGCAACCGCGGCCCTGGGCGCGTCCGCCCCGTCGGTCCCGCGGTCTTACCCGGCAGGGCGAGCACCGAGTCGTACATTTTGCAGCTGATGATGCCCGTGCTCTGGGTAATGCAATCCATCCACAGCCCCTTGTACATGGCCTGGGCTGTGATGATGTTGTCGCCCGCGTAGGAGCTCACCTGCCACTGCGGGATGGCAGTGGATGCCAACAGGCCCACCCAGCCCAGCAGAGCCATGGAAAAGCCCAACAGCTGAAGGCCCGAATTGGCCATTTCCGCCCTCAATAAAGACTGGGGACGCCGGGTGGGTGATCCTGCAGTTAAACAAACCAAACTTGGGGGCCAACCCCACAAAAGACAACTTGGGGTGGAGTTTTAAATCACCCAACAAGACAGAAAAGTCTTTGGCTGAGTGCCTGCAAATCTTTTCGTCACCCGAGGTGAACACAAATCGATCCCTCCAGGCGAAGCGAGGGTCTCACAGCACAGCGAACAGGCTACGGCCCGCGGGGACTTGTGGCCGACAAAAGCGATCCGCGAAGGTCAGGCGGTTTCCTCCAGTGCTCACGGCGACCCTACCCAAACAAAAGGTAAGGGGGCAATATGGGCGCGGTCCTGGGTACTGGAAGGCCCCAGAGTGCCCTGGGCTGTCGGCACGAAGCTGCAGAGCGAGGGATAAGTTGCTCAGCGGAGAGGGAAGGTGCGGGCGGACAGGTGCGCGCACCTGAGTATATATGCAGGGCGTCTGAGGCGCGCCCCCGCGGGCACCGGGAGCGCGGGGTGGGGCGGGACCGGAGGGGCGGCCGAGAGTGACCTGACGTCACCGAAGGGACACTCACCTGAGCCGGAAATCCTGGCCTCCCCCCCACCCCCCCGTCCTTGCCCAGGAAAAGAGGAAGAAACCTGAGCAGCAGGGTCACGCCCCTTCATTTGTGGGGCTTTGACCACGGGTGGGGAGAATGTGGAGACTTCTCCGAAATTACAAGCTCAGAGTCAGCACCCCTGGACTGGGGTTCCCTCTGGCACCAGGATGCGCCTTCCTCTTTCGCCAACAGGTGCGCCTGGGACTCTGCGGAGCCACCGGGCGGGGGTGTCCCTGGCCAGCCTTGGCTCCTCCTTTTCCCCCCGCAGACACTCTTGGCTTCTACTCTGGGATCTCTTTGTCCCGTCCTGCTTTTGCCCCCACACTTTGCACTTCTCTTTCATCAGCCTCCTAGCAGGTTCCACCTTCTGGGTCACTGGCTCCAGTCCCTCAGAACTCCCCACTTCAGCAGCCTGCTTGGCGTCTCAGCTCCCGGAGCCACTGCCCCCACAACTCTCCGTGGCCCTCCCAGCCTGCCCTCCAACAGACTCCCGTGGCGCTCCAACACCCCCTCTTCTTGGCCCCCCATTCCAATCCCCGACATAACTTCAAGTCTGGGTCCTTCTTGCACAGCAAGGGTCCTTAAAGCCGAAGGAAGAAACTTATGAGGCCAGAAGCCAGAGCAGGGTGGGGAGCAGGGTAAGGCCTAGGTCAGAGTCCTGGCCACTCCCATCCTTCCCCTCTCTTGGAGTCTTTCCAGACCTGTCCCTACCATACCCTCATCCCGAGCCAGGCCCTGCCTGTTTTTGCAATGCCTGCTCGGGTTTGTCCTCCCAACATCAGACTCTCATGTGGCCTTTTCAGCCAGCAGACTCCCACCTATTCCACCCCCGCCCCAGTCTGCCTTTGCACGCCACCACCAGTGCCCAAGGACCCAGCATCACCAGTTAGTCCTTCTTTTCATCTTCCTGGGTGTACATTGCTGCTCCACTTCTTGCCCAGCTTCCTCCCAACCTATCTCTCTTCCCACCTCCTCATGCCTCAGACACACACCTTTCTACTGTCTCTCTCTCATTTCATTTTTCTCTCTCCCTTTTTTACCTGTTCTCTCACATTTTCCAGCTTAGTTCCTCTCTTTCAAACATTTCTCTGTCTTTCCTTCTTTTATTCAATAAACTCACTAAAGGGCCTCATACTAAGCTAATTGGTCAGCTTTTCTGTAATATAGACACTTTAGTGAACAATTTGTTATCCATTTTTATTTTTCTACTTTTGGTAAATGGTGAGTTTTTTTTCTTAAGGTGCTTACTTACTAGCTGTAAAATTCCATGTTTCTCAGTAGTATCTCCAACTCCTCTCCAAGATCACTAACACCATCACCTCTGCAACTGCCTCCAAACCAATCCCTGCTTCCCTGCCTGTCCTTCTAAAATCTGTTCTCTGCAAGTGACTTTTTTTTTCCCTTTCAAACTTAGCTCTTATCACTTCCTATTTAAAACCCTTAGAATCTTCCAATGGCACTGTTTTGTTCCATTTCCCTCATTGGATTTGGCCAATAAATGCTACACCAGGGCTTACCAGACCCGGTGCTGTGGCCACACAGCTCTCTCTGTTCCTGAAACATACTCTGTTCCTTCTCACCAAAGTGCCTGTGCACATTCTGTTCTCTAGGCCTGCATGCTCTTCTCCATTTATCCCACCCACCTTCCTCTACCCTTCTAACCCCCTCATCCTTCAGTCATTAGCTCAAATATCCTTTCTCCTCAGAAGCCTGGCCTGATTCCCTCCCTCCAGACTGAGTCAGATCACCCGCTGAATGCTCTCACCGCTACTTGTACTTTACTTTCAAAGCTCTTATCACTGTTTGAAACTATTCACTTGGTGTGGTTATTCATTCAGTGTCGGTCTTCCCACTGTATTAGAAGTTCCAAGAGAGTAGAGGTGTGTCTGGGTTCTTTCGCCAATAAGTATTTGATGAATGAATGAATACATTGCAAATTAACAATATTTTCCTCCACTTGTTCAAAAATATTTTCTGAGTATCTGTGTAATATACCAAGGACCATGCTTGACACTAGGGATACAGCAGTAAACAAAATAGATAAGGATACTGTGCTCATGTAACTTAGATTCTAGAGGGAGGAAACAGGCAATAAAGGCATAAACCAAATAGTGCATGTTTGGAGGCAATAAAATGGGAATATGACAAGGTTGGGTCCACTTTAAGTGAGGTCAGGAAGACCTTTCTAGGAAGTGACTATTAAATAACAAGCCAGCCATGACAGAAGCAAGTTACAGGGCATAATAAGTGC